TTTGAAAACAGTGTAACAAGTATTTTAAAACATTTTGTATGATATAAAAAATATATGCTTTGTATAATTTATTAATATTAACCCTATAAAGTCACATTAAATTCTTTATTATCTAATAGCAGGTAAGTTGGGATTTCTGGTACCCCAGTTAGCTAAAAAATATCGGGAATTTTCGTTTTTTTGAAACAAATATTTATTTATTCGTCTACATTAATATTGTCGCCTTCAAAATGGTCCCTATTTTATATTATGCACATGTGTCAATACTCGAAACTTTTCTAATACTCGATCTTTGTGATAGCCTTTAGTTCTTTCAGCGATGCGCTTTTAATGTCATCTATGCTTACAAAACAACGGCCCTTTAAGGTTTTCTTTATTTTTGGGAATAGGAAAAAGTCATAAAGAGGCATGTCTGACGAATATGGAGGCTGGGGCATCATTTTGTTTTTGGCCAAAAATTTTCAAAATTTAACTAGAATACATAAAAATATTATAACCAATATGCAAAATATTATGCTGCTTAAAGTATAGCCACCCTATAAAATCAAAATTTTGGGTGGGATAAAGTATCTCATTACAGCACCGAAAGCGTTTTTATAATGAAGTCATTATGAACGCAAAAAAGAAAAAAGTATACAAACATTTATTTAAAAAAATGGCTTTTTCTATGTGGTGTTTTTTAGGGTTAAATTAAATTATGAAAAGCTTGTGTAATTTACCACCCTTTCTATTAACCGAATACTGCTGAAACAACGTTGTAAGTGCCATGGAAAAATATGGTTAAACGCTGTGTTATCGCTGAATAATGTTTTATGTAGGTATTGAGACAATAAGCCTTTTCTGTCTTTTTATGTAAAATCAAAATGAAAGTGGGCATATGCCTAAATATATATATGGGTTAAACTTTTATTTAAATCAACAGAAAACAAACAGCATTTCTGGATTGTCCACAAACTCATTTATGATACTCAACGGTTCCAGCAAAGCATTTAATTTTCATCCTTGACATAATAATTATTCAAAAAATTTGTAATAACACATTAATTAATTTGTATTAATTAAAACATTAAATCCCAAATATTGCATATTATTTAGTAATTGCGATGACGTTTACTTTAATCAGTGATACACAAAAGAAGATTTAATTTAACGTACAGCTGATTGGACACATTGTTAAAATTATAATTTAATTGCAATATCATGACATAAAGGAAGCGTGGAATTCCAATTGTAAATTGTTTAATATAAATTTAACAACAGTGCAAATATCAGAAAATTATAATATTTTCAAAACAATCTAGAATCGAACAAACAATCGCATAATGTGTTTAATTCATTGTTCGGCACAGGAATTCGCAAACAAAACCGAACCGATTTTGAATCTTTATGAGCGTAATTGCAATTATAAATTTACACATAAAGTTATCATTTGACATATTTATTAGTGCTATGTTTACTTGCACTTACAAATGGTTTCTTATCTTTACAAACTTATTGGGTTAAACAGTGTATTTGTCTTTTTTATCGAACAAGAATGAAAGTTTCATTAATTTTTCTATTTGGAGACTTGTTGCTGCAGACTAGATAATAATTTTTTAAGGGTTAATTTAGGCACGCTGAATCAAAAAATAACCATAATTTTTTCTAATAAGATCTTTTTAGTAATATTGTAAAATAATTTCTTTAATGTGCAAATTCTAATTTGTAATGGTAGTACCTACAAAAATTGTAAATAGTATATTAGACAGGAGAGGAAAAACCCATAAACGAGCCGAGTTAATTTATGTAGGTACTGTAAGGGTTCTGTGGTATATAAATGTTAAATTCAAATTTGGTGCTATTTTAACCAGGGAAAATTTAAATAATCCACCAAAAATAATAGTTATTTTATGTTTTAAAAACCTATTGAGTTTCAAAATTTTACTTGTTTGTATCTAAACGTGGAAATGTTAGTGGGATTCGTTTATGTCCTGTAAATGTGATAAATGTGGATTAATAAACTATTATTATTATTATTATTATTATTATTATTATCTTACTTGAGTGGCCGGAAAGTTTAAAAATAGAATTAAAAAAGAAAAGCAGAATACGATATACTTCTGTAAAAAGTTTGTGAGAACTATATTATAATACGAGGTGTGTTCAGAAAATATCGGGAATTTTCGTTTTTTGAAAAAAATATTTATTTATTCGTCTACAATAATGTTGTCGCCTTCAAAATAGTCCCCATTGGATATTATGCACATGTGCCAGCTCTCCTTCCAATACTCGAAACACATCTAAAACTCGATCTTTGGGATAGCCTTTAGTTCTTTCAGCGATGCGCTTTTAATGTCATCTATGCTTGCAAAACGACGGCCCTTTAAGGTTCCCTTTATTTTTGGGAATAGAAAAAAGACAGACAGAGGCATGTCGAATATGGAGGCTGGGGCATCATTACAGTATTGTTTTTGGAGAAACTGTTGTTCAAAATTTAACAATTTTGGAACAAATTTTGCTGCCACGCGTTTCATACCCAAAACATTCGAAAAAATTTCATGAGATGAGCCAATCGATATACCAACATCATCAGCGACTTCTCTGATGGTTTATAACCATTTCTTCCACTTTTTCCATGTTTTTATCCGTTGTTAATGTGCTTGGGCGTTCGGGGCGTTCGTCATCTTCAACGTCTTCACGGCCATCTTGGAAACTCTTATACCACTTGTAAACTCTTGTTTTACTAATAGCAGACTCACTAAAGGCCTTTGTTAACATTTCACGAAATTAATTTCATTTTTTAAGCAAAATTGGATACAAATTTCTTTGATCCATTTCTTTTAAAGAACGAAAATCGCCGAGCTCATAAAACACGTCTGACCTTGGCGGATGCCACAGACAAAGTAAACGATGAAAACAGCTAAAGTTTGTATCATACTTCGGGGGCATGTATACCAACATAATAAAGAAAATTTTATGATAACCGGACCCTCCGAACCCGCGAAATTTAACAATTCTCGTTATTTTCTGAACACACCCCGTACAAGTATAGTTGTGATTTTAACCGCCTGCTATAATTAAGTACTCTCTAAAAATAAATGTCAAAAATGACTAATTACCACAGTTATTAGTGACTGCTTTTTCACATACCATGGTATCCCCAACATTTAGATTAAATTCTTATGTAAAATTGTCCCCTCTAGGGCAGTTTTTGAGATATAGTCAATTCCATATTATATGGAAAATTGACTATATCTCAAAAACGGTTCTACTTTTATAACTTTTGACGACATTTTCGGATTCAGGGAATAATTTTACATGGAAATTGACTGCTAAATATTCGGAATACAAATTGCAATTGACGAGAATTATTAGTGGCTGCTTTTTCGCTATGACAATTAGATTTAGGGAGTATGTAAACTTTTATAAATTGTAATTTTTGCTAGTAATGATACCTACATAATTGTTTTTCTGTCTGGTTCAAAAATAATTATCAAATGAAATTTTTGATTATGAAAAATTTTATAAATTTTATTTTGGGAAATATTTATGGAAAAATGAAGAATGAAGAAGCATTTCGTTTAACTTTTTGTATTATAAAAATTACATATCCTGAAATATTAGTAAAATATTGTTTAGGACATTTTTAAGAAAAAAATGATTTTTTATTTTTTTCCTCATTTTTTCATTCTTCATAAGATAACAAAAGTTTAAAAAAGAAGCTTTAAGATGGGTCACATTGTTTTTTACTTATGAAACCTTTACATTTGAAATCAAGGGGTTTGTAAAGAAAAAAGGTAAATTGCCATCTTGGATCAGCGGTCATAAATTGTATAGTGTGTTTGAATAAAAAAGTATATATATAATATTATTACATATGTTTTAATCAAATAATTTAACCAAAAATCAGAAATATAGTTTTGGTATAATTTAACCAAAACAATTCAATTATATTTTACAAACTTAATTGTTGTTATATCAAAAAAATCCACGTTTTTTGCAACAAATTAAAAACAAGAGCTAGTTTGAGTAAAAAATATCATTTCTGAATACAGCGTACTTAAATTACCATTTATATTAACTATAAATACTAAATATCTTTTTAAAAGAAACCAATAGAGTTCTAAAAACTGAAATTTAATTAAATGATTTAATTAAACGCAATAAAATGACAATTTAATATTTTTATATTTCATATACATTATATTGATTTCCTATAAAATAAATGATTTTAAACGACCGAAAGATTAAATTTTAATTTACTTTTAATATCTTTTAATTAAAAATAATAAAAGTCGATTTATAACATTGCCCATTATTTAAAAAGACTAAAACAAAAAATATTTTAACGAACTGTTTGACTGTGGATGATTTACTTTCACAAAAGTTAATTTGATATTATATAGAACATAAATCTTTCATCAAATTATTATCCAGTTCTCTATCATGATCTACGTGCATTTCTCCATAACGGAGAACACATTGATTTATTTTTAAACTTTAAATGTCTTTAAAAAAGATTAAAAATTAAAAGTCAAAATGTATTATAATGCAATTTTTTAGTGTATTTTCAACATCTGTTTTCAGGTTATGTTCTTAATTCCTTAAAGTAATTTAATTGTTTGAAAATCTCGGTTAAATGCATAGGTACTTTATAAAAAAATAAGCGGTTTTTTAACAACTAAAAAAAATTTTAACTGTCAAAGAAATTGGTTACGATTTTTTTACCTTAAAGCACAAAGCATATACAGAATGGATTTTTCTGTTGCAATATCTACCCTGTATTATTCATTGGTAAAATGTAATATTTTGTGAAACGCACCATAAAAAGTAAAAAAAAAATTTAAGAAAAACCATTTTTTTGTATGAAAGGCATGCAACAAGCAGTATAAAATAACTTTGTATCGATTTTACACTGCATTATTTTGTTATAAGCAGTAAAAGTCAGTCAAAAGTGATTAAACAAAAATTATTATTTTAGAATACTTGTTTAATAATTTATTTTTGTCATAAAATCGTAGATGCTCCAATTTAATGACGAATTACCAAGAAATAAATTAAGGTAACTCTCAAATATTTTACTATTTTTTTTTTAATATTTTACTTAGAAACTGATGGCACATATTGTCATACAATGCAAGTGCACACAATTTAATAAAGAAAATAAATTATTAACTAAAAATCTATATTATGAATCCATGTTATAACACTTTGTACAGCATAATATATTGAAGTGTAAAATAGTTAAAAAGTTATTTTATACCTTTTAATGTACGACTTTCAAAAACAATAAATCTTTTTTTAAGCTTTTTTATTTACAAATAAAAATTGAGTATCAGGTTTTAAAACCAGATGATAACGGATGAAATTAATATAAATTTAAACGAAATATATTTGACGGTTATAATTCTTAATAAAACACCATTGAAATGTATTTTAAAAGAATTTGTCACAGAATATATTATTTTTCCGTTGTCTCGATAAAGCCATGTTGCTTGTAAAAATGATTGACAGAAAGAGTTCGAATAAAGCGGAGCGAAAACGAAACCAATAAATGTTTTTACAACTCCATCTTCAGTGCACGCGTAAAAGTTTTATTACTGAAAAAATAATTATTTTTTATAAAAAAAACATAAAAATACTAAAACCAAAAGAATTATTATTTTGAAACCCACTGTTTTTGCTTTATATCTAAATAGCATCTCTTTTAAAAGATAACATTTAGAGCTTTAAAAGCTCCCCAGGTGGCAATAGGGTGGCAATGGGCTAAAAGCTTAAATGCATCAAAACAAAAACGTGTATTTATGTAATAAAATATCACTGTATAGTAAAAAAAAGTGCGTTTTATAGTTTTATAGTATACTACACAAAAAATTACACAACTGTTTTTCTACGACCACATTTTTATTTTCAAGTTTTTTGTTTGTTATTTTATAAATTTAACGTATATATTTTTACTCTAAACAAAAATTTACTCATAAGTTATATTTTTACCATATTAAAAAATCTTTATAAACGTAAATAATTTATATTTAATTTGTTTGGGAACTTTTTCAGGTTTGAAGTGGTATAAAAAACTATTAATATTAAATAAACTTAACTTAAGTAAAAATAAAATTACAAAAAGAATATTACTTGAAGACGAAAAATTAAATTATTAAAGATGTCATCCAATGTTTAATAAAATTTTATATGTATATCTAATAATAAGATTTTAAAAACAGTTTGTATTGTATTTTACATTATTTATAAGTTTATTTCTAGTGCTATGGTTATGTACTTGTAAAATAATATCAAATGTATAAATTATTTGATTAACTCAATACAAAAATACAAAAGTATTTAATAGTTTCTTAATAAAAAAATACAAAAGTATTTAATAGTTTCTTTACACCAATATTTGAAAGTTTTATATACTTTTAAAGTATTTAATAGTTTCTTAATACAAAAATACAAAAGTATTTAATAGTTTCTTTACACCAATATTTGAAAGTTTTATATGATCATTGTACTGACCTTTTAATTTCTCCGGAAGTAAACAAGATTTAACTTAATTTTAGGTAAAGACTCCACCGTGGAGTGCCAATAAAATATTTTCTTTACTTTCACTGTGAAAAACTGCTTCTATATATAGTTAAACGGTCCCTTTGCAAGGTATACATTTAGATTTACACTTAACAATTTGACATTTGAGATTTCCAAGTTAATTACTCCATTGTTTTATATATGTCGATCTATGCAAATTTTTAATTTAAAACATTTTTAGATAATAATAAATATTTGTCGTAAAAAAAATTTAAAAAGTTTTCTAGACAATCATTTAATTAAGGACTCGTTCGCAAGCCCGCTCGTGCCTAAATTAAATTCGTTTCTAAAATGGCGTTTCTTCATTTTGAAATATAAATTAAAGCGACAAAGGAAATATAAATGTTAAAGTAATTTTAACGTTAGTTTTACTTAAATATGTGGTATTTAATTTGTTTCATATTATTTGTTATTATAATAACGTTTACGCTATTCTTGTGTTCGGTTAACGTATTAAACCATTCCCCATATTTAGTAATTTTTCGTATTTGTACCGTTATTTTAGCGTTTTCGTTTAAAGTAAAAATAACTAAAACATGTAAATATTTTAACGTAAAATGCTTTAGATCTTATTTATAAAACATTTCAAATTTTTTTTGATGGTCACATGTACACAGTAGAAAAATATTTGTTAATTTTAACCACATATTAACCAAATTTTATGTTAAATTTATAACCAACTGTAATATGTTAACTAATTAAATTAATAGTTTGTAATTACATAAACATTTTGTAGATTTAATAACAAAATCTCTTGTCAATAATTCAACCATAATTCTTGTAATTTTCAAAAAGGACCTTATTTTTATAAACCTTCTTAACAAAAGTATTTATTGAAAACTTAAATGAAAAGAATTTTGATAAGAAATTTTGATTTATTTTTTCTAAATAAAAAAATTTACTCATACCTACATAAATGAACACAAAAATAACATCCACACAATTAAATAACACACCAGTCTAATATCATTAAATTATAACAAAATTTGGTACAATATAATTTTTAACCCACTTCACTGTATCCCCTAATTTTAGTTTAAAAACCAGTGAATAACAGATTTCTGGAAATATATTATAACATATATCATGGACATTTGTTACGAACACCTTACGAATTAGAATAAAGTAAGCAGAAACATAAGTTGCAGATTCTGAAGTCAGTTGAAAATCACGTGTACTTTTTCAACGAAATAATTTGTTACCTTTGAAATGAACAAAATCCTCACAAAATTGCATATTACCTTTATAAAACATTTGATAAAATAATTTCCTTTATTAAAATAATTACAAACCCTTTTACAAAATAAAATTAAAAAAATCCGACAGTGTTAGGTTTCATTTTTTAAATATTTTTTTTTATTTAAAAGATAGCATCCTGTATTATTCAGAGAAGATAAAGTATTTACATATAAAAAATTATGGTTTTAAAATGGTTTGGTTCATATCTAACTAGTAGATCTCAAATTGTTAAATTTAATAGTGTTATTAGATAGTATTATATTAGACTTGAATTTAAACTTTAAAACCATGTTGAATATTTGTTAAATAAAATTTCAAAAAAAGTATATTTTCTTGCTAGAATTGGGAAAAATTTATCGTTGCAAGTAAAATTATTGTTATAGCTCCACATTTTGATTATTGTTCCACTGTATTGTTCTGTATAAATAATAATGAAATGCAAAAATTACAAAAACTTCAAAATAAAGCATTGAGAATTATTTTAAAATGTAACAGGTATACCCCAATCGAAATGATGCTTCTCGTATTAAGTTTGTTAAGTGTAAAACAATATGTGGTTTTTAAAACACTAATATTTATATTTAAAGTTAAAATTGGAACTCTTCCTATTTATTTAAATGACAAATTAATTTTGGTACGAACCGTCCATAATTACAATACTAGGAGTAATAATGATTTTTATGTTGAAACGTATGACAGGGTACAAACAACAAAAAATGTTTTTTTTTCAAGCGGCCATGATATACAGAGATGTCAGAATCTGTCAAAAAAATCCACTAGATTTTGTTTAAATGCACCTTTATTACAAAAATGACACAACTAACAATACTGAATAACGTCAAATTGACAATTTGCATTGTATCAATGTGTCATTTTTGTGATTAAGGTGGATTCAAACAAAATCTAGCGGATTTTTTTGACAGATTTTGGCATCCCTGATGATATACAACCTTATATGCATGTATAGAGATAGTTGAAGTGCGTCTTTTTCATTAGCGGCAGACAAAAAACTAAAAAAAGCCTAGGGATAGAAGTAAATCCATAGGTGACTCAATAGACGTCAAATAATAAAATTAATTTAGCATTTCATACTAAGCAATCACGATGTATTAATTATATTAATTATAATCGCACGGAATATTTAGTGATTATTTATTAAATTTTAATTGAACGAAATAAAGAACAACTAGTTTATTAGTATAATATTATGATGATAGACGAGTCGCCAATGTCGGAATTTCAAACAAATGTCAGTACGTCAAAATTAATTCAAGCGCAGCATTTTGACAGAGCTGTGTTTATTTTTAGTTTAGGATATTTATCGGCATTGTAAGTAAGGGTTATAAGTTTTTTTAGTTTTTATCAATAATTTCTAATGCTTTTAGCCAAAATTTTATTCCACATGATTTAATTGAAGAGCTGCAGTGCGTGTAATTGTACATTTAATGTAAATTTTGCTTATTATATTTATATTACGCCCTTGAAAAAAAAATAGTATATGTTATTTGGAGTAAAAGCTCTTTTTGTGCTTCGTACAGTTGCCTGCCTCAGCTACGCTTCGGCCGTCAATCTGTGTACTCACCACAAAAAGAGTCACTTCTACTCCTTATGACATAATCTACTATTTCTACGCTTATTACGGAATTTGACAGTTCTTATATGACTTTTTAATCTGGAATTACGTATATTCCATAAAGTGTTACAGAATAATTATTCCGCACATGTTCTAATGATGGAATGAGCACTGGGGGCGACATCTCTATGTTTATTTTATAACTCACTTGTATTCCTACCAAATCTAGTTTTTTCAGAAAGGCCCGGTAGAAAATATTAATCGGTAGTATACAATAGGATTTAAAACAGTTTGCGTTAATAAAAATACCCAAAATATATCTTCTTTACAAGCTAGTTGTAATTCTGTTTGGCCGATTTAGTAGGATTCTATTAGAATATTTAGGTTTGACTTAGTCCCAAAGAGATGGCAGCACTGGTTAATTGTTTACGTCTGTCATTAGTTAATTCAAAATTTGAAATTCAAATAATAACTTATTTGTCATTCTTTAGAATTTGTCCATTTATTTACTTAAAATTTGTCTATATTTATCTCTGAATAATATATCGTCGTTAAATAATATGTCCATGTCTATTGATGAAGAAGAAACGCGTTTGAAAACACTCCTCCAGAACTAACTGAAAAGGCCAATCAAACAACGCTAGATTTACTACCTGCGAAGTCTAAAGAAGTTTATCTGCAAATTTATAAACAATTTATGGACTGGCGTAAAAGTAAAAATACGACTTCTCTTTCTGAGAATGTTATATTGACAATTCTTTATCCAGTAGATTAGATGTGTCTAATAAACTAATGTCTCATATTACTGAAATTGAAGCATCAAACCCAGGATCATCTCAATCTTCAACTGCAGCTTTGAATTTAAATTCCTTAGTAAATAAAGAAAACTTAAATATTGCCTCAAATTTAACCTTTCAAAACTGTACTATTGATCATATTACATGTAAATAATAAAGAATAAAAAAAGTTTATTACTTCTTTATACTTCCTAATTTAGGTTCTGCAAAATTATGTAAGTAATTTTTAATGGATTAATATTATTTAATAGTCTTCCAAGTGATATAAAAAATTGTGATAACATTAAAATATTTAAGAAACTTGTAATTGAACATGTCAAAGAAAACTTTTTACTGTGGTAGTTTGACTTTGTGATTTTTTTATATATGACATTTTTAGTCCGGTCAATCTAGACATTCGAAGGTACATAAATTTACAACAAGCTGAAAATCAGTAAAATTGTTCAGAATATAATTATAAATAAAATTTTAAAGTTCCCCATAATTCCCCTGTATGGAAAAATTTTTATTCAAGGTCAAAGGTCAAAAAAATGATTTTTCGCGATTTTCGGCAAAACGGTAAATTTTATCATAAAATACCCCAGACAAATATTGTAGATCATGAAATTATCTATAAAAAATGTATCAATACTTTTTTTTCTACGAGCCACCGTTTCTGAGATATAACGATTCGAAAAGTTGTAAAAGTTATAATCGTCATATTATGCACACGTTTCCACGCCACCTATTAGGTAGTGTACTTAGCGCGTTTTTTAACGTGGTTTCCCCAGTAGCCTATTCCACGGGTCAGTTGTGATCCTGTTTAATTTGAAACTATTGCAAAATAACGGAAATTAGCAATGATTGGAAAAGATAAAAGCGATGTAAATTAAAAAAAAATACTGAAGTTAATTAGTCTGATTCGTAACATTTAAATTCTTCTTCTTATTCTTCTACTTGTTCTTGTTCTTCTTCATCTTCATCCTGGGTACAAGTAAATTGCGTCAGTAGCGATGTATCGCATGTCACCTCGTTGGAATTAAATGAATCCTCCACTGTTGGTGATTCAACATTAGAGCACGACCGGCCTTGACAATTCGTACATACCAGAGAATAAAACAGTCCGACTTTTTTGCAACCACATTTAGCACTGCATCCCTTTTTGCAGTTGCAAAAAATTGTGTTCAGCATTTTTTCCGGCGCAGGTGGGAGTAAAGTTAGAACTGGTTCTAATGGGTTGTTGACCAACTTCCAACCCCAGTCTGTAGGGTCTAGCTGATAATCAAGCCACACTTAAACTTGGTAATATACCCGAAAAATATTTTGATGAGCAGCAACTGAGGTTGGAGGAAGACAAGCTAATTGAACTTGTTTTTTATTTTAGTATTTTTAACGAAACATGCATATCGATACTTATCAAAGCAGGTAGTTTTTTTACGAGCTCCGTATATAGAAAGAAGAAATCGAATGCCGTTGGTGATAACTTCTTGTCCCGAAGCACCTTTTCCTTGAGTTTGGCCGAAAAATCTCCGCTCATTAAGTTAAGTTAAGTGAAGACAACGGAACGTGCCAAATTTGACGGAAAAATCGAAAAAAAGTGGATTTGGGCATTTTCAACACCGAAAAAATTTGGTCCGCGGATAGGTCTCGTGGGCAGAAAAAATAATGCAAATTTCGAGTGTCCGCCTTCAACGGCCTCCGAGCTACGGCGCTTAGAAAAAAAAGGATATACAGACTAGCAGACAACGGAAAAAATAAATATTGCAAACGGGCCGGATCCGCCGGAAACTTTTCGATCTTTTTTTATTTTTTTCGAAAAAATTTTAAACGTTTTTTAGGTCGAGAGAAATTTTCGAAATTGGCCGAACGAAATACACGAATCGACGGGTAAAAGACCAAAGTTTGACATACTAAAAGATGAGCTTCATCGAATGAAAACTAATCGGCCAGAAGCCCGTTTAATTTTTGTTGTGTATTTAAAAAAGTTAACCAATTAAAATCCCCGAAATCAAATCGATAAGGTGGCAAATGACAGGTGGCATTTGACAGGGTCAAATGACAGGTGACAGATGACAGGTGACAGATGACAGATCATCTGTCATCTGTCACAGATGTTGTCTCGATGGCGTATAAATTAATTAATTTATACCCAGTCCCTTAAGGGACTGGGTTTTATTTCAATTGATATTGATATTTCACTAGTTATAACTTATGTAGGTATATTTTATATTTTAAGTGTAAGTGAAAATGACCGATAGAAAAATATATTAACATATATTAAAACTCTAGAGATGTATATACGTGACGTACTCATGTATATTATGACGATTAGAACTTTTACAACTTTTCGAATCGTTATATCTCAGAAACGGTGGCTCTTAGGAAAAAAAGTATCGATATATTTTTTATAGACAATTTTATGATCTAAAATTTTTGTCAGAAATATTTTTGTGATAAAACTTCCCGTTTTGCTGAAAATCGCGAAAAACTAATTTTTTTGACCTTTGACCTTGAATAAAATTTTTTCCATACAGGGGAATGATGGGGAACTTTAAAATTTTATTTATAATTATATTCTGAACAATTTTACTGATTTTCAGCCTGTTGTAAATTTATGTACCTTCACTGTTATTTTTTGGTCTAATTTGACCGGACTATTTTGTAATGTAAATAGCTTATGCTAATAAATGGTTTATTTATTTATTTAATATTTATTTAAATTCATTAAAACTTCAAATTATAAATCTTAAATGAAAGTGTGTGCATTTGAATTTCAGCTTCGACGTACGAGGCAAGCCGTTGTCGCAGGCACGACACTGGTCCGCACCGGAAGTGTTTGGATCCAGGGCCTACTTCCGTACAGTATCCGAGCCAGCGCAGCTCGTCATCGACGACATCCGGCGTCACGACGAGGGCGTCTACCGTTGCAGAGTGGACTTCCGGAATGCACAGACCCGCAGCTTCCGCTATAACCTTACAGTTATTGGTATGTTAATAGTTTCATTAAAATAATATATCTACTGCCTGATCTCCACTAGAGAGAGAGAGTGAGTGAGAAAGGTAAATCTAATAAAAGAGTTCAAATCCCGATAAATCTTTTAAGTGGCTGCGAAGGGAATATCACAGATTTTATTGCTTATTTTAGGGAACAAACTGGTATATATTTTCATAGTTTATATATTAACCACATTTAGTTTACGAGGTGTGTCCAGAAAATAACGGGAATTGTTAAATTTCGCGGGTTCAGAGGGTCCGGTTGTCATAAAATTTTCTTTATTATGTTGGTATATATGCCCCCGAAGTATTATAAAAACTTTAGCTGTTTTCATTATTTACTTTGTCTGTGGCAGCCGCTAAGGTTAGACGTGTTTTATGAGCTCGGCGATTTTTCGTTCGTTAAAAGAAATGGATCAAAGAATTTGTATCCAATTTTGCTTAAAAAATTAAATAAATTCTGTGAAATGTTAACAAAGGCCTATAGTGAGTCTGCTATAAGTAAAACAAGAGTTTACAAGTGGTATAGGAGTTTCAAAGATGGCCGTGAAGACGTTGAAGATGACGAACGCCCTGAACGCACAAGCACATTAACAACCGATAAAAACATGGAAAAAGTGGAAGAAATGCTTATAAACCATCATAGAAGTCGCTGATGATATTGGTATATCGATTGGCTCATCCCATGAAATTTTTTCGAATGCTTTGGGTTGGAAACGCTTGGCAGCAAAATTTGTTCTTAAATTGTTAAATTTTGTACAAAATTTTTGGCCAAAATCAATACTGTAATGATGCCCCAGCCTCCATATTTGCCAGACATGCCTCTGTCTGACTTTTTCCTATTCCCAAAAATTAAGAGAACCTTAAAGGGCCGTCGTTTTGCAAGCATAGATGACATTAAAAGCGCATCGCTGTAAGAACTAAAGGCTATCCCAAAGATCGAGTTTTAGAAGTGTTTCGAGAATTGGAAGAAGAGCTGGCACATGTGCATAATATCCAATGGGGACTATTTTGAAGGCGTCAACATTAATGTAGACGAATAAATAAATATTTGTTTCAAAAAACGAAAATTTCCGATATTTTCTGAACACACCTCGTAGATTAATGGAAAAAATTATTTCATTTGGGATATAAAAATTATCAAAATTTATGGAATAAAAATATTTTTTTAAATTTTGTTTTGCTAAATTAAATATTTAAAATGAGATCAATTTCGTTATCTAGGGTAAAAGTATAAACTTTTTTCTTTCATTCACTGAATTCGAATTCTACCTAAAGTAGAAAAAACGCGTTTTATTACATCACTAAATGTTTTTTACAGAATCCCTTATGCCATCTGCAACTACTACTTACTTTTATCTTTAGAATTCTCTTTAAATATTTTCGACATATTTTTGCATCTCCAAGAAATCATTAGTTTAAATATGCCATGGTACAGCCAAACGGTTTTTATAAGAAAAAATTGAACCTACACCTCGCCAAAGTTTTTTGTTTTGAATGCGTTCCACCAACTTCAAATACCGACAGACAGCTGTTTCGACCTTTATTGGGTCTCATCAGTGTCGGTCAACTTGGTGTAGTGGAACAAAATCAAAACAAATTACTCCCTGAGCCTATATGCTCAGTTGTTAAGTCAACAGAGGCGAGATGTAAGTTTAGCCCGGTTTTTATAAATATTAAACAGTAGTTAAATTAATTTATTTATAAATTGTAAGGTCCATTGCTTGTTGAAATGTTAAAATTTGTTATTAAAACGTTGTTTTTATTATTATCATCATTATCATCAATAATCACACTTTAAACAGAAGTCCAAAAGTAATAAAAATAGATCTAGAGAAGTGAATGACTACGAAACTTGACAATTTTGACAAAAAATACGGCAAGTACCTACATATTGAGTGTCTATTTTATGAGTACCTTGATAAAAATTTTTTATCAAAATCTCTTTAACGGGATGACAAAAAGGCGATTCTCAAAACTGTATCTCTTTTAAAAAGAGGTTTTGAAGAAAATAAAACAATGCATTATCGAATTATTTTTTAATAAACTTACTACTGGTGGAGTCCTGTATTTATCAACCTAACTATCCAACTTATGGCGTCGCGACGCGTCGTGGGTTTTCTGTTTTTTTTTATCAAAAAAATAATCACTTTTATTTCTTAATTAAACAGAAATGGAAATAAAATAATTTAAAAAAATATAAAGTGGCGTAGAAAATAGGAGAGGAAATAATAATCATCACTTTAATTCGAGTTCAGTAGCACTGAACATTTACTTGCATTAAGTAAGGTATCTAATTTATAAGTACATGCACCAAATTTGGTCGAGTTTTGACAAAAAAAACTACTTATAAAATAATATTAAATAAATAATGCCGTTGGCCCACCGAAAGGTAAATAAGTGATACACAGTAAGAAAATATGTATTAATTTTAACCAGTTTTTATGTTAATCCAGGTCCACATAACCTTATGTTAAGTTTAAAACCAACTGAAATCTGTTAACTAATTGAGTTGTTTGTAATTATAACAAACATTTTGTAGATTTAATAACAAAATCTTATATCAATAATTAAACCACAATTCTTACAAATTTTAAAACGGACCTTATTTTTACCAACCTTTTTGTAGACCCATTAACAAAAGTATTTGTTGGAAATTGTAAACTTAAATAAAAGAAGTGTTGGTTTATTCATCAATTTTCTAAACAAAAAAATTAACACATACCTACATAAATAAACAGAAAAATAATATACACACAATTAAATAACACACCATTCTGAAATCATCAAATTATAAAGAAATAACATACACACAATACATACTGATTTATTTCGTAACTTTAACCCACCACTGAATCCCCTAATATATAATCCCGTAATATATAAAATATTATTAATAATTTTAATATATTATAAACAATCTTGACAGTTGTTAGAAACACGTTACAAAGTAGAATAAAGTAAGCAGAAACATAAGTTGCAGACGCTGAAGTCAGTTGAACTTGTTGATGGGTATTGTGAGTGGGACATGTTTTTCATTGACTTCCTGAAATTACGTGTACTTTTTCAACGAAATAATTTATTAAACATTAACAAAATAATCTGTAACCTTTGAAATTAACAAAATGCTTAGAAAATCGCCTTTAAAAAACTTTCGGTAAAATATTTTTCTTTTTTTGAATAATTACAAAAATTATGTTAAAATTTTACAAAATAATGAACAATCTACTCTAATCATGTTAAAAATTCTGATTTTTATAATTGTAGTACCTGTAGTTTACATAATGAAAAACAAATTTTTGTTTTTTTGAAGGAAACTTATTCTTAATAGAAAGTTTTGATCGTCAAAACAAAAAAACATTGACACGGAAATTTTTCTCCACCGGGTGTTCAAAAATTAGGCAAACATGAAATCGATTCAAGACAGATTTTTTTGAAAGTTTTTATAAAAAAAATTTGGCGGCTATCTCGCGAGAGCGGCAATGTCACTTTGCGCTCGAATTACACACATGATTTTTTCTACCACCGGTGTTTTTGGTAATAATTAATAATTATTGATATCCTCAAATTTGACTTTTTTTTTCAAAAGTCGCAGTGTATACTAGACGATTCGTTATTATGGTTTCCATGGTAACTAAGCGAGCGTTTTGGTTACTTTGTCGCTTGCTCCTCAGAAAAGTTCAACTTTGCGTTTTCTTTTGGAAGCGCAAATTTGTACTTTTTGCTCGGTTGTAGAAAAATTATATTTTTTTGACATTCAAAATATTTTATTAAGAATGTTTTTTTTTCTTAAAATCAAAAATAAAAATTCCTTTTATTTTCTCTGGAAAAAGTTGATTCTGGAAAAAAACAAATTTATATTTTGTCGTAATTTTTGGATTTAGACTTTTTTATAAAAAAAACTGCTTGAATGGATTTCATGTTTTACTCATTAACACCCTGCATATAAAATTTTGTTATGTCAATGTTTGTTTTGACGATAAAAACATTTTATCAAAAACTGTTTTCCTTTGAAATCTTGTTGCTCAAATTGTCAATTTTTAATATATAGTTAAGTCAATTTTATCATCCCAAGAGCTACTTCAAAACAAAGGCTTTAGCTTGGCCAGCGCAGATTTTAAAAGAAAAAACGGTATTCTCATTTTCAATTGGAATAATTAAGCTGTCCCATTTTTTCATGAATTTAGATTATAATTATTACTCTTTACTTTGGCCAAAGGTTATATCTTTAAAATTAATTATTTAAAAACCATGTAAAATACATTAAATTGAAATGCATCACCCTGTTTATAAAATATATACGTAAAAATAAAACTAGTTAGTATAGTAGTATGACTCTTAATATAATTATTACCAAAAAAGATTAAAAACTTTTTTATTTTATTTTTGGCAGTTTGTCTTTAAATTAAAGTAGAACCAAAAAAACTGTATAAATTCCAATATGTTTTTTATTATTTAGTTGGGTTTCATTAAAAAAAAACAATAAATATATTTTAATTCTTATCTTACCTGTATATTATATAGGGTATAATCAAGGTAGGTTATATTTGCCTCATTTACCTTACTACCTGCCACTTAATTATCGAATTAATCAGCTGTATGTAGCGCCTTAATGGTTGACATACACAATTCGTTATAGAAAGCTTAGAGTTATGCTACGCCAGATGCTACTACTGCTAACAGTTTGACCCTTTTATGGGCCGTAGGACAAATTCGTACAACTCTCTGTCTTTTACAGAATAATAGCGGTCCAGACAGGCATTCCTTGATTAATTACACTTTGCTAGCAGTAGGTGCATTAATCTGAATTAAGCCGAACTAATAATGTCCCGAATTAATAAAGTTTAATAATTTATAAAAACGTTTTTTAATATGGCTTTTTATATTGAAAACCTACTTTATTTTTCCAGACTTTTAATCCAAATTTGATTCCATCCGTTTTCGAAAAACTCTAATCAAAGTCGACAAACGAAGTTTTTTAATATTTAAGGT